AAAAAAAAAAAAAAAAAAAGGAAGCCACAGTGAGTGGTTGATTCACCCATTCAGGTTTGTGTGAAGTTCACTTAGTGACGCTCACGCAGTGAGAAAACTGGCTTATGACAGTTCTTGTGTCCCAGTGGGTTAGTGACCCACAAGGGTACTCAGAAACCTGTAAAACTGAGACTTGTCTTAAAAACAAACAAACAAAAAAAGCCTGGCATGGTGGCGAACACCTGTAATCCTAGCAGTCAGGAGGCTGAGGCAGGAGGATCATTGCGAGTTTGAGATCAGCCTGGGGTACAAAGTGAGCTCAAGGCCAGCCTAAACTGCATAGTGAGACCCTGTGTGAAAAAGACAAACAAACAAACAAACAAACCAAAGAAACAAAACCAAAAAAAAAAAAAAACAAAAAAAACACCCAGAACAAAATCCCTATAAAACAGTGTCCCAGGAAATTTAAGAAGAGCTAAGTAAATAAATAAATAAATAGAAAATTCATTCTATATTCCTTCTGTCAGGCTGGTAAGCAAATGCCACAGATTGGGTGGCTTCAACAGATTTGTTTCTCAGCATTGTGGAGGCTGGGAAGCCTGAGAGGAAGGTGCAGGCTGATGGAGTCTCGGGCGAGGGCCTCATTCCTGATTTGCTATGTCTTCACAGGGCAGAGTGAGAGACCTTTCTACCTCTCCTGTCATAAGGGCACTAATCCCATTCAGCAGGCTCTCTCCTTAGACCTAATCACTTCCCAGAAGCCCTGCCTTTAAACTCCATTACACTGAGAAGTAGGGCTCAATAGATACATTTTGGGAGGACAAAACATTGAAATTCATGTGGAATTGCAAGGGACCCCAACAGCCAAAATAATCTTTTTTTTTTTTGTACTGGGAATTGAACTCACAACCTCACACTTGCCAGGCAGGCCCTATGCCGCTGAGCTAAATCCCCAGCCAACCAAAATAATGTTGAAGAAGAACAAAGGGAGATCTTAGTGGGTGAATAAGGCCCGTGGTCTGACAGCCTGTGTCCTGAGTCCTCTCACACTTACCACAAAAGGAAGTTATTACGTGGTCATGTTTGAGACACAGGATCCCCATAACCGAGTGTGTTACTGTCACAGGTTCTCTGAAAGTGGAGGTGCCAGGAAGGCCACTGACGGTACGCCTAAACGACAATGTCACCATCCCCTGCAAAGTCCATGACTTCCCAATGCTGGACCATAGTTCTATGGGCATGAGGTGGAAACGTGAGAATCAGGTGTCTAATGCAGAGGACACGGTGTTGGAGATATATGGTGATAAAAAAAACGTTACCCGAACTGGGGCTGAAGTGTCTCCAGATTGGTTGAAGTCCGGTGATGCCTCACTGTATCTGCCTGGGGTCCAGGTGGGAGATGAAGGAATGTACCGGTGCCAGGTGGTGGTCCCCCCTCAGATGCAAGAAGAAATGGTCTTGCTGGAAGTTACAGGTGAGTACCTAAGGGCATTGCCCTGCAGTTGCTGTGCTGCTGGGTCCTGGGGTGGGGAAGCATTTGGGGGCCCTGTCAGGCAGAGAGTCAGTGTGTGGGTCTATCCCAGACAAGGGCTACAATCCTGGGCTTCTCTAAACACTTGGACCACCTTGAGCAAGTCATTAGTCACTCTGAACTTCAGTGCTCTACCAGAGTGGGTTATAGGTAAGACTGTAGGATAATACCGATGAAATGCTTAGCCCAGTGCTCCATCCTTGTAAGTGCCCAGTAAATGATAATGTTGGCAATTGTTGTATAGTTCACCTCTTGTATGAGCAGCCAGTGTCACTAAAGAAGTGCCAGGTCACTGGGAAGGGAGTGAGGTGCTGGGCCCTGGCTGGACTGACCTAAATCCTATTCCAGCGTTGCTACTTCTAAGCGGTGACTATGGCCATTTAATAGCTTTAAACCTGAATTTTCCTGTGCACACAATGGGTTGGTAACTCCTACTTGCCTCATCATATGATATGTGTATAACAAGTATGGTGGCACATGTCTTGAAAACCAGCGACCTGGGAGGCTCAAGCTGGAGAATCTCTTTTTGATCTCTTTCAAAATTAAGCAAAAGGGGCTGAGGATTTAGCTCAGTGGCACAGCACCTGCCTGGCAAGCGCAAGGTCGTGAGTTTGATTCCCGGTACTGGAGAAAAAAACAAAATAAAGCAAAAAAGTATAATCAATAAACACTGATGGAAAAAAATACAGCAAAAACATTGCTGAGTGGTAGTAGCTTACCGGTAAGGGTGAAAATGTCCAGCTGTCTGCCTGTTGTAATGTAAGTAGGTTCTCGGTCAAGGCTTAAAACATCTCCCAAAAAGCTCTTTGAGCTTCTCTTTCCTCCTCAGTCAAAGCATCTGATATGTGGGTGAGCTTCGTGGTGTCTTAGTTTGTGGCTTAACCACAGATGTGTATTTTCTTATAATTCTGGATTCTAGAAGTCTGAGGTCAGGGTGTCAGAGGGTTTGATTTCCCCTGAGTCTTCTTTTGGCTTTCTCTCTGTTTTCCCTCAGGGTTTTTGGTTTTTTTTTTTCTATATCTGTCTATGTGTCCTAAATGTCTTTTCTTGAGAAGACACCAGTTACAATAGATTAGGACCTACCATGACACTCTCATTTTATTTTATTTTATTTTATTTTTTTTTGTTTTTCTCTGGTACCGGGAACCGAACTCATGACCTTGCGCTTGCCAGGCAGGCACTTTTTGCCGCTGAGCTAAATCCCCAGCCCCTGACACTCTCATTTTAATGTAATTATCTCTTCAAGAATTTATTTTCAAATCTTCACATTCAGTGATACCAGGAACTCTGGAGAGGATATTTTAGGGAGACCCAGTTCATAAAAAAAGAGCAGCATTTTGTCTGGTTTTTTTGTTTTTCTGTACCAGGAATTGAACTCAGGACCTCGCACCTGCCAGGCAGGCACTTGTGCCACTGAGCTATGTCCCTAGCCCCAAGAGCAGCATTTTGAAACCCTCTTAGTTGTATTTGGAACTTTGATCACTTTGTATATGATAATAATGGGAGTGCAGAATTATAGTAGTTAGAAAAATTCACTGATTCTGCAACTCACAGAAAGCCTGAAAGAACAGTGGATTTTAAAATAGAGATGAATAGACTTACAAGATAGTCCCGTGGGTTCTCATATTATTCCTACCACCGTGCAATATTTATCCTATCATTAACAGCTTGCCTTAGTATGGTACAGTTGTTTTAATTAATAAACCAATGTTGATAAGTTACTGATAATCAAAGTCCATAATTTATTCAGGTTTCCTTGGTTTTAATTAATACCCTTTTTCTGTTCCAGGATCCCATCTAGAACACTTCATACTTTTTTTTTTTTTTGGGTTTTTCTCCGGTACCGGGAACCGAACTCACGACCTTGCGCTTGCCAGGCAGGCGCTTTTGCCGCTGAGCTAAATCCCCAGCCCCACTTCATACTTTTAACTTGCATGCTTCCTTAGTCTCTTTTTGGCTGTGACAATTTCTAGACTTTTCTTGACTCTGATGTCCTTGCCAATTTTGAGGAGTAGTGGTCAAGTTTTTGTAGGGTGCCACTCTCTTGGAATTTATTTGCTGCTCTTATAATGTGACTGGTGTTTTGGTTTTTGGAGGGTGATCACAGAGGTAAAGGGAGTTTGCAACACATGTCAATTCATATAATTTATGACTCTCGATGTTGCCCTTGATCACCTCTGTGCAGTAGTATTTGTCTGGCTCCTTCACTGTTCAGTTACTCTTCCACCCTGCTTCTGTGCTCTGGTGCTTTGAGAGGAAGCGCCCTTCTTCTGTGCTTTGAGAGGAAGTGACCATGTGTGGTCCTCACGTAAGGAGTCACGCTCCTTTCCCATTGGGATGGAGTAGCTCCGTGATTTATTTGGAATTTCTCATAGGAGAGTTGTTTTTGTTTTTTACCATTCATTTACTCAGTGATTCCATTGTGGTTTGATTTAGGTCTCTGATCCAAATGAATTAATTTTTGTAGAAAGTGCAAGATTTCTGTGTAAATCCCATGTGATTTGCTGCATATGAATGTGCAACTGTTCCAGCACCATTCCATGTAAAGCCCATTCCTTCTCCTCAAATTACCCTCCTTCCTTTGTCAAAGATGAATTGGCTACATTTATGTCCATCTATTGCTAGCTTGCCATTCTGTCCTATTGATGTATTTGTTTGTTCTTTTATCAGAACCACACTCTTTATTTGAGCACAGTTGCTGGGAGATGCTTTAGCCACTTGTATTATATTTGGAAGACTTGCCCCAAGTTCATATGGCTACACCCCCTGCAGTGGGGATGGAGTGAGCGTTTAACCTGGATGTGTCATGTCCAGCTAAGAATGCTCGGGAGTAGACATCTGCAACAACACAAGGCTTCCTGTACATTCTGAATAGTATCTGGCACAGAAGAGTTGAAGAAACTCTACTTTCCAAAATGACCATGAGAGTCAAGGTGACAGCATGGCAACATCCCACTGGTAGTGCGAACTGCTTGCTTAGACTCCCTGATTTAGGCAGAGGGCTGTTCAGATTACACAGCGCTCCTGAAGTCACCCTGGGTCGAGCCTGGGGCTGGGAATCAGGTAGTTTCTACCCATTCTACAGGAATTTCCAGTGGGCTCTGGCCACTCAGCCGGTCTTCAGCTCATTGTTGGGTGTGGTTTTACTATCCCCTGTGTCTCCAAATCTCCATCTTTGAAAGAGTGGACATCTAGGATTTCTGTCTTGCCTGGGTACAGCGGAAATGAGGCTGATGTGTAGGTTTGGCAGAAACCAGTTACCATGAGGCAAGGGAGAAAAGGGTGCTGGTTTTGGGCCCAACTCTATGTCTTTTCTTCCCTGGCAGCTGAGCCAACTTTGTTTCTGGAGAAAAGCATGGAGAAAACCAATGAAAGTGATGGCATTTACCTTATGTTTCATGCCAGTGGGTTCTACCCAGAAGCCATTAACATAACGTGTCAGAAGTGGACCCAGAATGTTTCCCAGAGGATTTTCACAGGGATCCACACTCCTCCCACTATCGAGAATGAGGATGGTACATTTAGCATCACCATCTACTTGACAATCAGTCCCTCTCCTGTGGACAGTGTGATCACCTACCAGTGTGTGGTGTGGCACCGCTCCTTGAACACCTCCAAGAATCTGAACTTCACACTGCCTGGGAGTGGTGAGTGTTTTCTTGCCCCTTTCCTCACTCCTTACATCTAGGGTGTATCATGTAACTCTCTGGTTCCTGGGCAGTCTAGGGTCTTTGCTAGTGTTTGATGGGGAAAAAGAGTAAGCTGGGCTAAGGGAACAAGCTGGGGTCTGGCCCAGCTCAGGCCCGGAGGCAACAGTCTGAGTTCAGTCCCTGTGCCCAGGTACACGGTGTGGAAGGTGGAAAGGGTTGAAAACAGTCATGAGGTGGAAACAGGGCTACTTGTCAGCTCTTGGCAGTCCTCCTGTCTCAACTTGTTCCCATCTACAAATATTGACAATGTGAGGTCCATTGTATCTGTAAAGTTCACAACTCGCACTTTCATAAGTTGGGGCTTCCTGTACTCAGATGTGGGAGATGAGTGTGATAGGAATGGTGATGCTGAGACCTGTGGTGTGGGGTTGCTGGTTGGATCTCCTGAGAGGAAAATGACACAGAGCTCACTGGTGTTAGCAGTTGTTTGTGTCTTAGGCTCTTGGGCTTAGGCTCTTGCTGATGGTTTCTCCTTATTCTTCTTCTCTTTTTTCCTGCAGAAGCTAAGAAGACACATCGCTCCCGGATCCCTATTGTTGCTTCTATTGTATTGATTTCAATGGTGGTTATTTTTCTTTATAATCAGGGAAGGTAAGGGGCTCTGCCTTACTTTTCTTTTTGTTGAGACAAAATACCTGACAACTGAAGTTAAAGGGAGGAAGGTTTATTTGCCTCACAACCTGTTGAGGTTTCAGTCCATCATCTGCTGGCTCCAAAAAAGGTGGCTTGGCGGAGGAGCACAGTTCATGGAGCGCACAGTGTAGCAAAAGCAACAAGAGACTTTAGCAGCTTTTCCCCCCTGCCTCCTATATACTCTATTGAGGCTACTGGGATGAGTGCAGTGCCAAACCGGTGGATTGATTTAGTAATCACACCCCCTTAATCCTAGCATTGTACCTTGAATCCCTCACACACTCTAGATCCAGCCACCTCTGGTCAAGCCCCACCTAATGACCACATGTGGCTTTGAGGGCACATCTAGACACAAGTCACAACAGGCTCTGAAAGAAAGTGTAGTCCTTTGTTTTGGACTTGGCTCCAAGACCTCAGGATCTTGGTCAGTGGGTGGGTCAGAGAGTCCTAAGAGTTGGTGCTGTCGTGTTGTAAGTGTTGTGTGTTGTTCTCTCCGATGTTGTGTTGGGGATGAACTTTGCCGTGGGGTCACCACGTGTTGGTTTCTGACTCTGCGCAGATGCACTGTGGAGCTTCCTTTGTCTCCAGCAATGCAGATGTCCCTGTGGATTGAACCTGCCCATGGGAGCTCGGGCCAGGGCCATGGACTATGTGCAGGTTGCCTTGTTCTCAGGCACACAGAGCCCACAGCTGAGAGAAGGGAGTTCCTCCCCCTGGTTGCTTCAGAGGGATAGCTCACCACCAGCTTTCCCTGGCTTGGCCAAGACTCTTTACACCTTCAATGTGTGTTTCTGCGCAGAATCCTTATTGTGGCCCAAATAGCAAGTGACACAGCATTCGCTTTGCAGACCCAAGAGACCAGGGTGAATGTGGTTGTTGAAATGGTTCTATTTTTTTTTCCCCTCTCTGTGCTGGGGCTCCAATCCAGGCCCTGCAGCATGCTGGGCAAGCACCCTGCCGCTGTGTTGCACTAGCAATTCATAAAATGCTTCTAGATGATACAGATCTTCTTAGTGTTTTATGGGCGTGCCTAGGTGAGATCTGTGCAAGGGCCAACACTTCTCATTGTAAATGAAAAATGAGAAACTGAGTTTGTCAAGAAAGAAACTGCTCTTCTCACATTGGTTAAGTGATTTGTGGAACTTGTTCTCCTGGTTGGAGCTAAGCCAATGAGAAACCTGGGTGGGGAGTGGTGTTCACATGTATCTTGTGATACTCCTGATTGTTTTCATATTTTTGTCCTTTCTCTGATTCTTATACACAGGCGCCAGTCTTATGAACAAACGCCCAGCAGTGACACTGAAGAAGGAACCACAGCCCCATCGAGTGCGGCAGTTTGCCCAGATGCCTCCAATCCTTCCCTCCTAGTTTGCACAGATGACTCCAGTCCTTCACACAAGTCTCTATGTCCTTGTCTGTTGTGACATAGCTTTACAGTGCCCTCCAGCACACTCCCTGGTTGTGGTGCTCAAACATGTGCCTTGCTTTAGTCAACTCAGAGTGACTACAGGCCAGTTCTCAGCGTGGCCCTAGAGGGGCCTTTTGTGTCTTCCTTTGCTGTGTTTGGTGCCTGTCACACGAGAAGGATGAGTCCAGGCTGACCTGCTGGAGGAGGAGCCATACAGGAAGCAGAGCGCCGTCATCCTAGGTGCAGTGACAGCATTCATCTCCACTCAGGCCAATCTACCTGTGGTCAGCAGCGCTGACAGAGCCAACTCTAAGGACAAGAGAAAATGTTTTAATTTATTGTGAAGAGAAATAAAATAAAACAAAATTTCAAAACAAGATGAGAGTAACAGTGGTTAATACACCGAGTGTTGTCTTCTTCAAATTAGTTACTCAGTGTAAAAGATATCAGCATTTAATTGTTCAAACAATATTAGCACAAACTTTTCTTTTCAATGAACTGAGAGAAATTAGTAGTATAAGTATCTTAACTGTCTTGTATTTATATGTTTGTTTTGTTTGTCCCTTCTTTTCTCCTTTCCCCATCCTAGTTTCTCTTTCCTTTTGAACAGCTTCTTCCTATTGTACATTTCTGATCTTATTTACTCTTTCAGCTCTCACTAAGGAGAAAGTATGATGTTTGCACATGTATGTCTGGTTTATTTCACTTATGAGTATGGTGTAGAGTTGCATCCATTTACCTACAAAAGTCTCCAGTTTATCCTTCTTTATGGCTGAGTACTACTCCATCATATAAAAAGACCACATCTTTTCTATCCATTCATCAGTTGATGGGCATTTGGGTTGTTTCCAAGATCTAGCTATTACAAATTGTGCTACTATAAACATGGGTGTGCATATATCACTGTGGTATGATGTTTTTAATTCTAGGAAGTTACCCTAGAATTAAAAGGGGAATAAGCAGGGGAATAAGTCAGTCAAATGGGACCTCTAATTGTAGTTTTTTGAGGAATCTCCACAGCGATTTCCACAGTGGTTGAACCAGTCTCCAATCCCACCAACAGTGGAGAAAGGTTCCTTTTCCCCCACAGTCTCTCCAGCATTTGTTACTGGCTGATTTCTTGATAATAGCCATTCTTTCTGGAGTGAGATGAATCTCCGTGTTGTTTTAAATTGCAACTCTCGAATGACCAATGATGTGGAACATTTTTTCATCTATTTATTTGCTGTTTGTATTTCTTCATGTGAGAAGTGTGTGGTCATCTCAGATGCCCATTTTTGGATTGGGTCTTCAAATTTGGCAGATCTGATATTTTAGAGTTCTTTATATGTTCTCCATAGTAATCCTTTGTCTGAGGAAGAGGTGGCAAACATTTTTTCCCACATTGTGGGTTGTCTCTTCACTCTGTTGGTGGTTTGTCTGTTTTTGTGTCTTGGTGGTTTTTCTTGCGTGTAAAAGTTTTTAATAAGATAAGATCCCAATTGTTGATTGTTTACCATAGTTCCTGTACAATCAGGGTTTTATTTATAAAGTCTTTGCGTACACCAATGTCTTCAAGAATTTTATCTATTCTATTTTCCAGCAGATTTAATGTTTCTGTTTAAATATTTAGATCTCCAATCCATTTCAAATTAGTTCAGTGCATGATGAAAGAAATGGGTCGAATTTTAATCTCAGGCATGTGCAGAGCCAGTTTTTCTAGCACCATTTATTAAAGAGGCTATCTTTTTTTTTTTTCTGGTACCGGGAATCGAACTCATGACCTCGCACTTGCCAGGCAGGTGCTGTGCCGCTGAGCTAAATCCCCAGCCCCTGAGCTAAATCCCCAGCCCCTGAGCTAAATCCCCAACCCGTTTCTTTCTCTCTTTCTTTCTTTTTCTTTTCTTTTCTTTTCTTTTTTTCTTTTTTTTTTTTTTTTTGAGACAGGGTCTTGCTATGCAGTTCAGGCTGGCCTTCAGCTCACTTCGTAGACCAGGCTGGCCTCAAACTTGCAACGATCCTCCTACCTCAGCCCCCGAGTGCTGGGATTACAGGATAAAGAGGCTATCTTTCTGTCACTGATTGTGATTGGCACCTTTGGCAAAGACAAGGTGTCTGAGTACATCTGAAGTTGTTTCTGCATCTTCTAGTCTGTTCCATTGATCTTTGGGTTTGTTTTTTTGGCAGTACCACACTTTTTTATCACAGTACCTTTATAGTATAATTTCAAGTCAGGAATTGTGATGCCCCCAGTCTTGCCTTTGTTGTCCAGAATTGCCTTTGCTATTGTAGGTCTCTTGTGATTACAAATGTATTTTAGGATTGTTTCCTCTAATTCTGTGAGATATGCTGTTGGAATTTTGATCAGAATTGCATTAAATCTGTATAACAGTTTTGGAATTATGGCCATTTTCACTATATTAGTTCTTCCTATCCAAGAGCAAGTGATATCTTTCCATTTTCTGATATCCTCTTCTATCTCCTTTTTCAGAGTATTGTAGTTTTCAAAGTAGAAGTCTTTTATATCCTTTGTTAGATTAATTCCTAGGTATTTCTTTTTTTGGATGCTATTGTGAAGGGTGTTGTCCCCTTAATTTGTCTTTCAGTGAGTTTCTTATTCATGTAGAGGAAGTTTATTAATTTTTGAGTGTTGACTTTGTATTCACCTGCACTACTGATGACTTCCAGATTTAGTAACCAAATTCAGTAGCATAGCTGGATACAAAGTCAACACTCAAAAACCAATCACCTTCCTGTAGATGAATGACAATGTGACTGAGAGAAATTAGGGAGACAACCCTTTTCACAATAACACCCAAAAAGTGTTTATTAAACCTAGGAGGGTTTAGTGGAGTTTTGGGCTTTTCTGTCTAAAATATCACATCATCTGCAAATAAGTTCTTTCTCTTTCTTTCTCTTTCTTTCTTTCTTTCTTTCTTTCTTTCTTTCTTTCTTTCTTTCTTTCTTTCTTTCTTTCTTTCTTTCTTTCTTCACCAGGACCTTGCACTTGTGAGGCAGGTGCTGTGCCATGGAGCAATATCCTCTGATGGAGACCACTATGAAGCAGCTCTGAACAGGATTTATATTAACTAACTGGTTTTTCATATTTACATGTGAGTTTTCCCAAGGCCCAGGCCCTTGTCTGGAGATGGGCAGCAGACTCATAGGAAGTGAGTGTCTATGAGTCACTGGTCCCCACTGAGCTCTGTATGAGCCTGTGAAGTTGGGACGCCTCAAAGGACAAGATAAGGCGACAGCTGAGGACATTTGGCTCCAACCCCATTTCATTAAAGGAGAGTGTAGCTGTAGACCTCTCACTCCTAAGGTGAAAGTCTTTCTGGAGATAACATAGTTCTCCTAAATTAACGTAATGTATTACCTGGAGAAGTCCTGAGAGGGACTCCCAAGTCCTGCCCAGATTCTTGTGTTTTCTTCAGTGTCCTCCTCCTTTGTTTAAAAACCAATGAAATAGAGGACCTTCCAGGGAAGTTCTTTTTCCGAACCCAGAGAATCTTGAATTCTGTGAGAGGATTGGATCCTGCTGGAGCCCTATAATTATTTCAATTGTCTCATTTATTTAAGCCTTCACCGTGCACGTGCACTCATTAGCAACACTGCAGGCCTGATCAACACGTAATAACTAAGGGTTACTAACATGACAAACTGAGCCTTCTTTCTCTTGTCTAACTGCTCTGGCTGAAGTTTCCAGGACTATGTGGAATAAGAGTGGAGACAGTGGACACCTTTGTCTTCTTCCTGATTTTAGAGTGAAAGCTTTCAATTTTTGTCCATTTAATATGATGCTGGCTGCTGGTTTGTCATAGATGCTTTTATCAGATTGAGATAAAGACCATCTATGCCAATTGTATGTAGGGTTTTGTTTTTTTTTTAAATCATGAATGGGTGCTGGACTTTATGATAAGCTTTTTTTGCATCTACTCAGATGATCATATCATTTTTGTTCTTGGCTCTGTTAATATAGTTTAATACATTTATTGATGTACATATGTTGAACAACCCCTGCATCCCTGGGGTGAATCCTACTTGGTCATGGTGTGTAATCCTCTTGACGATTTGCTGCATTCTGTTTTCCAGTATCTTACTGAAGATTTTTGCATCTATTTTCATTTGTGAAATTGGTCTATAGTTCTCTTAGTATTTTTTTTTTCTGGTTTTGGTATCAGGTTTATGCTTGCTTCCAGGAATGAATTTGGGAGTATTGCTTCCCTTTCAATTTTATTAAAAAGTTGGAGAAGTGGTAGTGTTAGGTGTTCTCTAAATTTCTTGTAGAATTCAGCAATGAATCTGTCAGAGCCTGGGCTCTTCTTTTTGGTAGGTTTTTAATTACATCTTTAATTTCATTGATTGATATTGGTTTATTTTGGATTTTTATATCTTCTTGACTCAGCTTTGGTAATTCATGTTTCTAGGAATCTGTTCATTTATTCTGCATTTTCCATCTTTTTAGCATGCAAGTTTTCATTGTAGGTAGAGATGATCTTCTGGATTTCTGCAGGCTCCATTGTGATTTCATTCCTAATTGCATGGCTTGGAGCCATTTCTTTCCTTTTACTGATAAGGTTGGATAAAGGTTTGTCTATTTTCTTTAATCTTTCAAAGAACCATGTCTTCAATTAATTATTTGTTTGTATTATTTTCTTAGTCTCCAAGTCATTAATTGCTGCTCAGATCTTTAAAATTTATCTTCTTTCTTTTTTTGGTACTAGGAATCAAACTCAGGACCTTGGTAATTTCCCTTCTTTTACATGCTTTTAGTTTATCCTGCTCTTTTTCTAGAAGTTTGAGGTTTACCATTAAGTTGTTTATTTGCAATTGCTCTGTTTTCCTGCTATGAGTATTCTTGCTATAAATTTGCCTCTTAGGACTGCTTTCATTGTGTCTCATAAGTTGCAGTATGGTGTACTGGCATTGTCATTTAATTATAGAAACTGTCTATTTTAATTTCATATGTGAACCAGTGGTTGTTCAGTAGGGTGCCTTTTAAGTTTTTGTGGTTCCATTTGCCATTGATTTCCAATTTCATTGCACTGTGGTCTGACAATATGCATGGGATAATTTCAATTCCTGTGCATTTACTTAAGTTCACTCTAGGAGCTGGTATGTTGTCTATTTTGGAGAACATCTTATGTGCAGATGAGAATGTTTATTTTGATGCTTATTTTGATGGGGGAGAAGATTCTGTGGACATCTACTAAGTCCATTTGTTCAAAAATTTGGTACAGTTCTAATATTTCATTGTTGATTTTTTTGTCTAGTTGATCTTTTTTTGACAGTTGTATATTGACATTCCCAAATACAACTGTATTAGTGCTTATTTGATTTGTGTGTGTATATATATATATATATTTATTTATTTATTTATTTATTTATTTTAATT